TAACTTACTGATGGGGGGATCGGGTAGACCACGATCTTGGTGCTACATAACTACTCTCCGCAAATTCCAGACCTTAACTTACTGATGGGGGGATCAGGTAGACCACGATCTTGGTGCTACATAACTACTCTCCGCAAATTCCAGACCTTAATCCACAGCTTTTATAGAACAGGGGGCTTTCTGGTGAGGTCAAAGGGTGGTCATCTAAAGTGGTGCCATCTGTGCACTAGAGGGAAGATCAGAATAAGCCTTCCAGAGTTCCATTCAGGGCACACATTAACCTCCAAAGGGCCTGGAGCACGTGGGCGTGAGGGAGGTCATTGCACGGACATGAACAGGATGGAGTCAGGATTTTCAACAGTCCTACACCCTGTGCCAGTGAGTTGCTGTTGAAATTGTGAAAGTTTATTGTGGTCAATTTAAAAGACTCAGCCTTCTAAAATCTTATTATTATTTTTTAAAGATTTCATTTATTCATTTGACAGAGACACGGCGAGAGGGGGAACCCAAGCAGGGGGAGTGGGAGAGGGAGAAGCAGGCCTCCCGCAGAGCAGGGAGCCCGATGTGGGGCTCAATCTCAGGACCCTGGGACCATGACCCGAGCCGAAGGCAGACGCTGACGACTGAGCCACCCAGGCGCCCCTAAAATCTTTTTCTTATGCTGCCCTGACTTGTGGCAAATCATGCGCTTTGTCTACGTTTGTAGCTTCAGCTATAAAACCGTAATCACACTATACACCCCTTGACAGCAGGGACAGACTCTGTCATCTCTTTAAAGGACAACAAGGTAATGGACAGGGGAATCAACTCAGTTTGGGTGGACTGGGAAGGTGACTTTGAGGAGAACATTTGAGAGAAACTTGGATGGTGGGAAGAACTAGCCACGTGAAGATCTGGGCCCAGAGCCTTCCAGGCAGAAGGAACAGCAAATGCACAAGCCCTGAGTGGGTTTTGAGGTTGGGACATGTTCAAGGAACAGAACAAAAGAAGCGGGAGAGTGATAGGCCAAACCAGGCCATTCAGAGCTTAGGGTAGTGATTTGGATTTCATCCTAAGGGAGTCAGGAGGGCTTTTAGGAGAAGAGTGACATGAGCAGATCTTTTACTTTTTTT